ACTCAACATCGAGACCAAAGTGCTCCATCAGCCCTCTCCAAATGAGGTACCATATGCCCCATCTATTAAAATCAACAGAGAGGCACTGGAGAATGTCGATCATTTTCTCTACTTTGGACATTATCTTTCATCCATGACAGATATTGATGTAGAAATCCAACATCATCTGAGCTGTGCCAGTGCAGCCGTTGCTTGTTTACGGCACAGGCTTTTTGAAGATCAGACACCAGACTTCTTGTCTATCATTCTCCCAACACTATTGTGTGGGTCTGAAACCTGGACAACCTATAGACATCACTTGAAAGTCCTTGAGAGGTGTCACAACACTGCCTCCACAAAAGCTTGAAGATCAAATGGGAAGACAGATGCACTAACATCAGTGTTTTGTTAGAGGCAAAGACCACCAGTATCGAGACAATGATCATCTATCAGCAACTTTGCTGGACCTGTTGTGTTTGGATGCCAACAGGTCCTGTTTTCTCAGCTGAAAGAAGAATACTGTAATGTGGGAGGACAATGGAAGTGTTATAAGAACTTGCTAAAGTATAACTTAAAGAAATGAAACATTGACATTGACACTTGGGAGACACTCACCCAGGATCGCTCAAAATGGAGAGAAGTCCTATGCAGTGGCTCCAGGCATTTTGAATTTGCCTGCTGAAGGACCAGAATTTGGACACCTTATGTGAAGCAAACAGGAGAGTTTATTATACACACAGTGCTGGGTGGAGTGTCACTTGCTAAGCACAGTGAACACTGCCAAACAATAGGTTACAACTAGTTATATAGGATGCTCAATGGGCACATCAAAGTGATGGGAGGGGGAAGATCCCGGACTTCCTGGATAGATGCTAATAGTAAGGCAAGATAAGAGCAATAATATAAAGTTACATAGTGTTTCCAGTAAAACAAGTATTTAAACAAAGCAGACATCCATGATCAATTATCAGTTAATTGGCAATATGTCTGTTAAGAAGGTATCTCTGCAGGAGCAAAAAACAGGACTATGTAGCACTTTAAAGACTAACAAGATGGTTTATTAGGTGATGAGCTTTCGTGGGTCTTTAAAGTGCTACCTAGTCCTGTTTTTTGTTCCAGCTACACCAGACTAACACAGCTACATTTCTATCACTTCTCTGCAGGATGTGGTCCATCAGGGGATTAAAGTAGAGACATTAGGAGTACTTAACAATGGCACAGTTGTGCCTAACAGCATTGAATGTGTCATGTCCTGTCTCCCACCCTGGGCTAGGTGTGTGTGGGGGGGAGGGGGGTGTAACCATCATGTACTGTGTTTGTGTGCCATTCTCAGAGTCTGAATTCAGAGTGGGTTCTTAACAGAATATCATAGCCTGAAGCGTTATAAGGACTTGCTAAAGGATAACTTAAAGAAGTGCAACATTGATGTTGACACTTGGGAGACACTCAGGATTACTCAAAATGGAGAAAAGTCATACGCAATGGCTCCCTGTATTTTGAATTTGCCTGCCGACAGGCTGAGGAAGAGAAGAGGCGCAGGAGATAGGGGAGACTGGCTTCTAGTCATGGTCAACAGCCTCCTGCTGTACCTGGAAACATCTGCCCTCACTGTAATAGAACTTGTGGTTCAAAGATCAGCCTTATCAGCCACCTGAGGGTCCACAGCTCTCATGGAAGATGATCATACTCAGAAATGAGTCATTGTCCATCATCAAAATAATGAAGAGGTCTGTCACTTGCATTGAGTGATCGGGATTGGTTTGAAAAGATGAGTATAAGAAAACAGTGTATGTTTCAATATGGTCAAAAGTAAAGTCATTCATGTAGGGTCACAAATGTTTGTAGGCCATAGTTACAGGGTGCAGGACTCTACCTTGAGAAGCAGCAAGTCTGGAAAGCCCTTGGGAGTCTTGATGGATAATGATTGTGGCTGTGCTGTCTGCTGTCCCCATGAATATTAGTCCAGATCTGGAAATATTATAAGCCTCAACATAATGACATTTTCCACATGCTCTGCAGAGGCTAGTTAGAGCTTTGCAACTAAATTCTCCACAGAGCACGCTCCATCCCCAGGCTGTAAGGGCTGAGCAGGACTTTCCTTGATATTGCTCCTTCCAGCTGCCGGGGGCTGCTGTGAAGCCAGAATTGAGAGCCAGGAGACCATTCATTCAATACTTACAGTGCACCCCTGCTAGTTACCCAGTGAGCCTGCCTGCTTCAGACCTAAAGTGGGGAGGAATGGTGGGCTGAGGGCAAAGAGTGGAAAGGAGGGAGAGGATGGAGATTTGGATCTGGTAGGAATTGGGAGTGGGGATGGGCAGGAGCGGAGGGGGCTATTAGGAGAAGATGGGGATGTTATTTTTATGCAATGAGTATAATAGATTTTCTTCAGTTTAGACATTGTCATTTTGTGCCAGCATTAGAACAACTGCTGTTGCTTTTAATGCTTCCAAATGGAAGGATGTGAAATCTCTCTATGCGTCCTGCTGATGTCTTTACCACAGCACATATTTCCTCCAGATCATTATGCCAAGAAGTATTGGGACAAGATGCAGCATGAAACTAATTACTCTGATCTCCAAAACAGAGACATCAGTGTGCTGTGACCACTGCTTATGATGCTGATTATAACTCTCATTGTTATCTTGTGCTCCCTTCCATCAGTCTGTGTATCCAGTCTTCTCTGGTCTTCCACTTGTATTACAATGCAGCTCTTCAAGGCAGAGACCACCTATTTGGTAGCCAGACCATCTGACTGAGGCTGTTAGGCACTGCTATGATAAATCAGTAATTAATAATTATGGACAGTGGGTCACATTTGTAAAAAGCTGACAGATTTTAAAATATAAGAATTATAGAGGCTAAAATGATGCACAGGCTGTGAACGATCTGTCCATTATCCACCTTTAGAATGTACACAAAAGGGAGAAAATGTTATAGTAGGACAGTGGTCTCCAACCTTTTTACACCCAAGATCACTTTTAAAATCTCAGAACAGGCGAAGATCTCCCGCCCCGCCCCTTCCTTGAAGCCCCGCCCTCTCTATTCTCCTCCTGTTCATCACTTGCTATCCCCAGCCCTTACTTACACACTCCGATAAAAAGTTTATTTTTAAATTATGCGATATATAAAATTAAAATCACGTGTTTATAGTTATGAAATAAATGGTCTGGTTTTTATTCATGCTATTTAAATCTAAAAGGAAGCATTTATAATTATACATTTTGTGGGGACAGAGTTCTACGGCTGGGGGCAGGGGAGAGGGAACACAGTGCTGGGAGGGCAAAGGACAGGTTTCTGCAGCTGGGGACAGGGTGACAGTGGAGACAGAGTTCGGGGAGTGGGGACAGGAATAAGGACAGAGTTCTGTAGCTGGAAACAGAGGAGTGGGGACAGAGTTCTGTGGCTGGGGACAGGAGAGTGGGGACAGAGTTCTGTGGCTGGGGAGTGGGG